CCATTAAGTAGCTTATAGGAAGCTTCCGTGTCTAGCTTAAATTAAATGCCAAACACCACCTGAAGACTGCCTTACAAAGGCACAAAAGTACAGTTTCTAATGTTAATATTTAACTAGAAATTTTTAATATATCCACTGATTTCCATGCGTATTTTAGAGATCTGCATGTGCTACAGACTTTCAAGTATATACACAGCAACTCCAACATGCATCCTTCAACAAATGTGGAAGAGATTTACTAAGCACACAACTGTGATTGTGATCCTCAACTTAGTTTAACCACCAGTAGTACTGAAAGTGCAAACACACTATAAAAGTTGTCAAGGAGAACCTAAGCTATGTAAAAGTGAAGAGGACTCTGTTTTCAGCACTATACAGAGCAAACAAGCACTTCAGTCAGCAAGAACTGGTTTACAAAGCTCAAGTTAGAAAGTGAAACCTTACTGAAATCAACCATAACCCACAAGTAAGTCCATTGGTTTATATTCACTATAAGGCATACATGTATTTAAATACTATTGCTACCACAAACAATAAAACCACTACCTTTCTCTCATGCCCCTGTGTTATAACATAGCAGACATATGCAAAGAGTTGAAACCATGAGATTTACATAAAACAGTACCAGAACAAAATATGCAACGATGCTTGCCTGAAACATTTTCAGCTTCCAACCATAATCTACAGGTTTCCAGAAAAACAGGTTGTTTTCTTGGGTTTAATATTCTAGAAGTGTGTTCAAACGCTTTTTTGAACCCAGTTTGAACCCAAACTTACATATCCCAGTACTGCAAAGAGTTCCACAGCTTACTTCTTAATTTTCCTGTGGGAAAAAAAATAAACTACTTCAAACATTTCCCCTTCTAGTTTTACTATTAGGGAGGAGATGTAAACAACTTTCAATTCCTTAACTTCTGTACCACTTCCAAAGTCTCCCTTCGAAACTTCAGTCTTAGAACCATCTCTTCAACACACACAGACTTACTCTGTTTCAGACCAAGAAGCCTGACATGCTCAGGGAAGCCACATACCAAAACTGTTGAATATTTTTGATTAGTATCAAATGGTAAGAATGAGAAGGGAGGAGATGAGGTAACTAATCAGAAGAGTACAATATGCACAGTGGAAGCACACAATGGATTTTTACAGTTTTCATTGTATTCAAGGAAATAATAAACAAATACTAGCTTTTTCTTTTCAACTGTGCAATTAAGCATCAATCTCTAAAAAATTATTCAAAATCAACCTCAAATTGTGTTACTACACAGGAATAATAAGCTCAATTCAGAATATAGGGTATTTTATTGAGCACTCTGATTGTCCTGTCTTCATTCCTTCATTGCATTTCTACGAGCCTATTCAATATATGCACATGAGGTTAGATGGTACCAAGTCTGCCATTAATAATTTTGCCCAGCTGATCTAGAAATTGACCTCCATGTTACAGCTCGAAGCCAACCTCCTCCAGCTTGCTGTAAAACTTGCTGCAATCCAACTCTCTCCTTTTGATGGGTTATTAACCATAAGGTTAATATCCTTAGGCACAGGGTCTGTATGCAGGCACATGACCCAAGACCACAGAAACCACCCTCCAGTTGCAGGGCCCAATTTGCATAGGAAACCCTGAACGATTTACTGGTTCACTGCATCCAGGTCACCCACTGTACAGGACAATGTCCCACTTTAACCTACCTACCCTTCTCTGAACACTCGCTAACTTCTTGTTTAGAGCTTACTGTGCATGGAAAAGCATCAGTCAAGAGTGGAAGCCCCACAAGTGAGTTCACACTGAAGTCAACATTTAAGGCAAACTCTGGCCAAAAAGGAGATGCCTCTCACATCATTCCACTGGGAGAAAGAGGGACAACAGAAAAGGGGAACAAAACAGTAGCTGGGAATACAAACCCAACAGCTGGTCAGGTAAGAGACTACAATAAGGAAGTCTTCCATTGAGACTTCCAATATGGAAATCTGATATCTCAAAGCACAGGAAAGAACAAAAACTAAGTGATCGCTATGCCATTGTTCCCCCATGCTATTCTTATACAAGAAAAAAATCCGTTTCTTTGTTTTAACATAAGCTGACTCTTATTTTTCAGCTTCCCCAAAACCCAGAAAATTTATTAACCACTTCAGGCACCACAAGCAATTCATATTTTCTCCATTTTCCTCTTTATATTTGAGAACCTTTATTATATTTTTTAGACTCATGCAGAAGCTAAACTGAAGTCTCAGAGCTATGCACAGATTGAATTTTGAACCCCGTTTCATGCTGAAAGCCATGGATATCTGTTTTACAAAGCACCTGAGAATGTGTGATTTGTTTAAAAACTAATTCAATTTGAAACTTAAGACAAGTATCTTTTAACATAGTAGCAGAATAACAAAACAAACAAAACACTCTAAGTGAGCTGGAGCACAAAAAAAAAAAAAAAGAAAGGGGAAAACACTAACCCCTGCCACAATCTAACATACAACAAAATCTGTATTTTCCCTTTGTTTTGTTTTAAGTTACTGTTTCTTTTTCTTTTAAACTCTTTATAGAGTTATTTCTGGCAATTACTTCAACTAGCTCACTCCCCTAAAATTTGCAAAGTTGACAAGATACCCAATTTATTATCTTGGAGGAGGTAGCATCTCCTTTGCTTCAATTACTGAAGTTGTTCTACTAAAAGTCAGACCTTCAAAAGCTCGGTAACATGTACAAATCTGACAGACATGCTGTTTAGAAATTATTTTTCCCCCTCTATTTAATGAAAATCCTTTTGTTTACACTGCCTTTTTTCCAAAAAGAAGTTGAACATATAAAGTGATCATTACAAGCCTTCAGAAGTATTTCCTGGAACAGAGGAGAGTCATACCTTACTAGTAGATACTCTGACTCTACAGGGCTCCTCACAGGCCATCTAATAACAACTGCTTAGAATAGCTTAGAATAAGTAAACAGAAGTCTTCTAAGCACAACTGTGGGCATTAGTAACAAAAAAAGTGTACATGAAGCACACTCCTCCACTTCAATTTCTCAAAGAACAAACTGCAATTTACCTACTTACTACCTGTATGGAGCTCTGCTCAATTTAGGACTGTCTGCTTGTAGCAGATTGACCCTGGCAGGATGCCAGGTGCCACCAAAGCTGCTCTTTCACTCCCCATCTCAACTGCACAGAGGAGAGAAAAATACAAAAGGGTTGTGAGCCAAGATAAAGATAGAGAGGAGGTCACACACCAAACACAATCATGGGCAAAACCAGACTGAACTTGGGGAAATTAACTGAACTTAAAATCAATTAAATTTGAGTAGGACAAGGAGAAACAAAACCAAGTCTTAAAAATTCCTTCCCCAACTCTTTTTCCAGGACTTACTTAACTCTATCCCCCCATTCTTTCCCTCCTCCCCACCAGCAGTGCAGGGGGACAGAGAATGGAGAGGCTGCAGTCAGTTCAACATAGTGTCTCTGCTGCTCCTTGCTCCTCAGGGGCAAGAGTCCCCACACCCCTTCCCTGCTCCATGGGGTTCCTCCCATGGAGACAGTCTTCCATGAGCTTACCCAGTGTGAGTCCTTCCTATGGGCTACAGTACTTCATGAACTGCTCCAGCACAGACTTCCCACAGGGTCATAACTTCCTTCTAGCATCTACCTGCTCTGGTGTGGGTTCCTCCACAGGCTGCAGATGGACATCTGCCCCACCATGGACCAGTGGAGTTGGGCTCCAGAGACAGCCTGTCTCACTTTGGTCTTCCCCACAGGCTGTAAGGGAGTCACTGCTCCAGCATCTGGAGCACCTCCTCCCCCTCCTTCTTCACTGATCTTGTGTGCAGAGTTGTTGCTCTCACATATTCTCATCCCTCTCTTCAGCTGCTGTGGCTCTCGTGCAGAAACTTTCCCCTAGCTTCTTAAATACATTATCCCAGCTGTGCTACCACAGTGGCTGATGGACTTGGCCTTGCCCAGTGGCAGGTCCATCTCGGAGTTTGCTGGCATTGGCTCTACTGGTCACAGCAGCTTCTCATAGAAGCCACCCCTGTATCCCACTGCTACTAAACCCTTGCCACAGAAACACAACACACTACTACACTGCCTATCCGTGTACTTGCTTCTCTGCTACCATCAACCACTCAAAATCCAAATGGCTCCTGACACCTTTGAGCAGCTGCTGTGTATGACTTGGAGCTGGACCTGGTCCCCCACCAAATCAAAATTTTCCTGTGGCTACTGAGATATACCATGTATACTACCAGAAAATTCACAGGGAAGACACATCAGGATAGCAGATGAGCACAAGAGGAGTGAGCAAAACCTCCACACGTGTACTTAAAAACCACACAGAGGTCTCTTGAAAAAAGAATGGCATGGAGTTCCTACAAAGGCAAGCTTCCAGAAAGCCCAAGCAACTAAAAAAATTATTCTGAACATAAAAACAGAGTGTTTGAATGCTATTGGAAATATTAAAGTAACACAGTGACTAAAGTCTGATGAGTCAGACACTTCATTTGTTTCCATATTATCTTGCTGTATCTGCACTGGCAGGTTAAGTATTTGAAATGAACAAATTCTTAATTATGAGAAAATCAGCAGAGTGATTCTCTTAATAGTGCTCCATATATTTATATGGACATGCAGCTTTAATTTGCCTTCATTCTGAACTGAAACCCTGCTATTCTACATTCAATTTTGAAGGTAGATTTCAATTCTGCTCTTCACTGGGATGCACAGACATTTTAGAAACATGAATAAGAAGCCAAACGAAACTGAATATCACCCACATTTTCTAAATAAGCAGAAACAGATACACAATTAATGCATTTTTCTGTACATTAATGGAACAAGTTTCTACAAAATGGAAAAAAAGATCCCAGTGTCTAGACAGGGCTCAAAGTTTAAAATTCATGACAAGAAATTTATTCTAGGAGAAGCACAAAAAAATGCAGTAGCAATACAAACTCATCGTCCCAAATTAGCAAATGTTATGTAACCAAGTGCAGATGGTTAGTCACTCACCTTCCCTCGTTGATTTTTGCTTTGTCTCCATGACAAGAGAAGTTCTCAATGTAACCTAGACTGCAGTTGATCCGTGTCCAGTCGGGCTGGCACACAGCAATGAAGTGAGGACGCAGTCTACCTATGGAGTACTTGGCAATGTCTGTCAACGACTGGCTAGCAGCTGCTCCAAATATGAAGGTCCCAATGGCTTTGTAAATAGTGGCTATGTAGTTATTTCTGACAAACGAATTTGAGTGCAAATTATTATAAAAGACCGAGAGAGTCTCTCCTAGGATTATCTGAAAGAGAAACAAGGACAACAAGTTAAAAATAATTACTTCAAAAGAAAGGTATTACTCTCTTGTTATTAATACTCATGACATGCAGTTACAGAAATTAATTCTTTATAAACATTAAGCTCCAAAAGTAAGTTTTCTCCAAGAGTCAGCAGTAACCGTGACCAAACTTTAAACACTTTCATGCAGAAGAAAAAAAAACCCTTTTACCTTCCCTACTTCTTGTTGGATTTAACATTAATGATTTTTAGAATACTTATTAAAACAAAGCCTTCTCAGAATAAACATTTACCCATACTACTTGGCACAGCCCTAAGTAGGAACACTTTCTCCAGCATAACTTTGTTCTACATTGAGTCTTCCTCAACTAAACTTGTGCTGAGCAAAATTTTTCTAAGTTTATTAGGGGTTTTTTTGTGAAAGCAAAAACTATTCTTAAGGGTCTAGACTTTATTTCTGGATGTGAAAGGCCAGATATTTTAACAAAGATATTTCCTATTCCTCAGGAAAATTAAATCCCTTGGGGAGAAAAGAAAACTAACAGGAGTAGAGAAAGACAGGCATTGGTGAGATCTTTCCAAGGATTTTTCACTCCACAGGTACATGCATCACGTGTTGACAAGCATGCAATTTAATTTTGTTTTCCTGCAACTATATCTTTTGCAGAAAGTAAATTTTTCCTTAAGCCAGGTATAAAAGTTCACCCCAGATAATTTGGATATTGAACCAGACATACCCATTTTGTACAGAAAGGCTCAGCTCCTGCAGATGATCAGATGGGTAGGGAAATGTATGCATATATGTAAAATTGTCTTTTAAAATCATGTAAAATTTAAATGATGACTCCATCTATCACTTTAGAGTGCCATGTCCTGGACTCGAGCAAAGCAGAGCTTTGGTGAATGAAGCAGTTAGGCACTGACACCTCAGCACACAGAGCAGCTGTCAAGAGCTTTGCACATGAAGGCAAACAGACAATACCACCAGATGTGATGTGTGACACTGAAGCTTTACACCCTGCACCATACAGACACAGACAAACAGAGGAACACCAGGATGTGGACTAAAGCTGAGAAAGCTTTCAGTGAAGTATATACAGGATCTAGCTAACCAAGAAAATAACCTCTTAAGGAAGACAGCTGAGCACAAATATCACAGCCATGGCTGGTAAACTATGAATCCCTTTCAAAGAACATTGCTGCAAAACCTGCAAGAAGGTCACTTACCTCAGCTGAGGTGACAAAAAATTAGTTGATGCCGATGCAACTACTTCACCGGACACTGACATCAAAAGAGTATTTACCTTCAATAATCTGACTGAGCATTGAGTAAAGGACACCAATATTTGCCTTTACCATCTGACTTTGATGCAATCTTGATATGAAAGCCTGATTTCACAACTGAAAGATGGTCCCTGATGTTGCAAAGGTAACTTCGTTAGCTAAATGTTCATATAGGATCAAATGTGGACTGGATTAATTAAAATTAAATACATCCATTAAAAATTACTATATTCAGTGGAGCCTCTTTTGACTCAGGAAGTCCCTGAGCTGCAAATGGCTGGTAGCCAAGTACTGAAGGCAAAACATCAATCTTTCCTTGCTCTATTCTGTTCTTCCTCACTTGCGTGTTTTAACTGCCGTAAAAGTGAGATAACAAGGTATATGGACTCTAGTTGTGACCAAGCACTGATGCTCTTAGGTAGTAACAGGGCGCAAAAAAACATAGTCCTATCTTAAATGGCAAATGGCAGGATCCTCCTCCCCACAAAATTTCATCTGCTCCAGAGCTATTTCTGTAAGTTCTTGAAGCAGCTTTTCCAAGACAAGGGAAACTAGTTAAATCACAGATTCAATTCTCAGCCCATGTTTCTACAGTTTAAAAAAATTCCACCCAAGAGCAAACAGATGCTGCAAGTTGACCTTTATGTTGGAGTCTTGATAAAATCCATGCAGCTTCTGTGCATGAGTTAGATTGACAAAATATCCCTCCTGATTTCAACCCATTAGCCCAGAAAAAAAGCTGGTCAATACTGAGGTTTACATTTATCTGTACCTTTTCAGTTTCAATTTCTAAAATGTACTTGGATAAATACTTATAGACCTAAAACAGTTTTAACTCTGCTCAAAGTGTGGCTGTGAGGAGCTTGGATGTCACCCAACAGAGCCACCAGTGGAGACTGAAGCTTTTTAGCACATCTGGACAGGGATTTTGAGACCCCTGTGGAAGGACCATTGTCAGAACTGAAGTGTAATCTCATCAGACTTAGGACATGAGATGGTTAACTGAAGAGGTCCAGCTCTCCCCTCTGCTCATGAGGACATGTCCCTACCACTTTTTGCCCCAGTACTGGTATTCTTCCAGGAACCATTTCCAGGAGCCATTTGCACTCAGTGTAGCTCAAAGAAAGCTGCTGTTTTCTGCCAGATTAAGGAAATTCACTAGCTTATCCTGGGTTCAGACAAGCCACCAGAGGTGGCAACAGACAAGGTAATAGTAGGACCTCAACTTTTGTTCACTGATAGTAAGCTATTAGGTTAGCTCAGCTGACAGCATATAATTAAATATGAAGGATAGAGAGTCACTATATGCTTGAGACAGTTCAGCTGAGCTAGGATCTGTGGTCAGAGAGCCATCCCACATTGCAGAGGCAATCTCTCCAGCTCACTGGTCTGGTGTGAAGAGGCGAGAAGGAGAGCAGTACACTGTTTTCAGCCAGGTTAAGAGCAGTATGAAAATGTGCCCCTGCATTAATTTAAACACAGTGCTGCCCAGTGTTCCATCCTGACCTTCAGGAAAATATCCCGTAAAAAACTCTCCAGTTACTTTCTCTATTTATCCTTTTGATAAGATAGAAAGCTGCAATATTTTTCTATTAAATAGTTTAGTGTCTGAGGTTATACTTCCACATGCAGAAGGATTCCCAATGACTTTGTGGAAGAGAAAAATGCTGACTTAATAGGTCATGTACCTGAAAGCATCAGGTCCCAAAATTAAAACCCTTGAAACAGTCACAGTACATTATTGTTGTTCTTAACAAATATGATAAGGTAGGAAGTTTTTATCTCTCAAACTATAGAATTAAGCCACCACAGTTCTAAGGCATTTTTATTCTGTTCTACAGTTCTAGCTGTTTGACCTCAATTAAAGTAAATCTTTTAGTTATTTTTGTCAGAACACCATTTCTACTGCTTTAGCACCTGGTCTAAGGACATTACTTTAAGGCTGAGAAATCTTATAGAGTACAATTTTACAAGTCTGTGTTAACAGATTGCCCCTCCTCCCTCTTCCCCAACCCCACTGAAATCAAAAGCAATGAAGAAAAGTTTAACTTACAACAATAATACTGAAAGGAATAATTATTCCTGCTAACAACTTATAGGAAATGGTGTCCTCTTTGTATGGATACCGGATGGATTCATCACTACAGAAAACTCCTCTCTGGAAGGGGATACGCCGTGAACTGAGAATTGCAAAAGGCAAGCCAGCTGGCAAAAAGGAATACAAAATACATTACAAAAAGAAAAACAAACTCTGGTGATGACATACCCCCGCATTTCAAGAGAAGTGCATAAAGAGCAAGGGGCATGCAGAAAGTTAGAAGGTTATGCACTTCCCTTGGCCAATGGCTACTGCCTTGACTTTGCAGCTCCCAGGAAGGATTGCTGAAGGAAGGAGAGCAGGGCAGGAGTCCTCTCACCTTCACAGGTGATGTTTGTGGCACATCAAGTATGGAAACATGCCAAAACTGTGACTGAGTAAACAGTTCAGTGACAACCATCGAATTGCTCAATCTGCTGCTACTGTCACAATTAGGGAATCTTTATATTCTAGTGAGCAACAGTTGCTCCTCTGTACCTTCTCTGGACAACTTCACAAGCGAGAAGAGCATGAATTGGCAATTCATGAAAGCAGAAAAGAGGTGCTTCTCAGGGAGTGCAAGTGCAGAGGGAGCTTTTGGGAATATGGAGAAAAGCAAATTACGCATGCATGCGATCCCCTCACTTCCACACACTCTGGATAGCTCCGGAGAACAATGTGGTCACTGCACAAGCCCTACAGCCTCAGGGCATGAAGATTTTACTCCCCTCACTTCCACTAAAGAGGATGCCTTTGGCTCAATCTGGTATCAACAAGACACAATACTAAGATGCACAATGCTGCATGCTACTGCACATCCAGATACCCATAACACTAACCCAAACTAGTCATTTGAACAGAAAAAAAACCCAAAAAACCTCAAAACAGGGTATGAATTACCACAACATAATAGAATCACATTTCTAAACCCTGTCCCTCCATCCTTGACACACATACAGCATCTGCACAATCTGTTTGGGTACAGGGACAAGTTCTGTCAGAAACAAATGGCTGTATGGAAAAAACAAATGGGAGATTACCAACAATGTTTAACAAAACCATAAACAACCTTAATTAACTTTGGGATGCACAGCACAGTGGCATAAAAAGCCCTTGATACTGTGCTCAAAATTCAGCAGTGTTGCACATAAAATGCATACCACTTTAGAGTTAGACAAGAAAAATTATCTGGGGGAGACATTCCCATCTACCAGTAGGGGAGCAGAAAGACAAAAACAGCCTCCATCCCTCCTTCTTGCCAGAGAAACATGTTGCTGTAGTCTCAGTTCTTTCCTCAGGACCTCTGTGTCAAGGCATAGACCACCTCCTCCTTTCCAGATACACAGCTAGCCCCAAGAAAGTGTGTAGAAAGAAAAGTAAAGAGAAAAAGAAAGAATAAAAAAAAATTACCAACCAAGTAGCATTAGAACCATTAGGGAAGAGAAGAGACTTAGGATCCTTTTCAATCCTCTTCCCCCTTTACCTCTACCCATGAAGTCCTCCAAACTAAGCCTAACTCCTGAGCCCACCACAAGTGATACATACTGTGGTTTCACCCATGATTTGCCATCGATTTTGTTATTTACACTGTAAAGTGCTTAAAAGAATGCTTCAGTCTGAAAACAAACTCAGAAGAACAAACAACAAACTAATGGCTCATAAGGTGAAAATTTCCTTGAAGAGAACTCTGAAGCGTGACACAGATTTATTCCCTAAACAAGCACTTATGGGCTTATCATATGGGCCCATGAATTCCAGTTAACCCTGCTGCATAGGATCATAGTATCTTATGTACTATTCGAGTCATAAAACCCATGCAAAACATACCCTTTGAAAGTGGCAGAAAAAACCCACTGTCATTGTCAAGAGGAGTTGTTTCCAGTTCTATGCCAGTGGGACTACCACTGACCTAGCTCTGGAAGCCATCCAAGCACACCAACAAAGCAAGACAGTAGGACGGGCTAAGAGCCAAACCAGAGCCTCACCAAAACACTGCACTATTCAGACATCAGCCAGCACTGAGCCCTGGAGTCGGACACTGCAGTACAGTGCAAAAACATTTCCTACCAGGAGAAAATCCCTCTCCCTTTCTCTTAATAGGAAGAATGGCAGGGCTTTGAAAAATGCTGCAGCCCAGACCTCATTTTTGCCCTCCACTTGTGTTGTTATTGTGACAGATGTCATGATCTGTCATCAGCTATTTAGTATTCAGCTGACTTGTGTAAGGGAGGAGGCAGAAGCCTGTGCAGCCATGGTGAGGGAAGGTGACGGGTCAACATAATGCCATGGTGTTTCCAACACCATCTATTCTATAAAGTATATATGGAATTACGTCATCCTTTGCCCTGCACCCATACTAACACCAAAATTCAAGGCTATTTGAGAAAAGTGTATTGCTTAGATCTCCAGAACTGGAGAATGAGGCATACACAGATAAGTTTCTTACTTATACACATTTGAGAGCATGTAGTTTTGATTATCATGGTGGAACAGTTGTTCACAAAATGTACTTCGGTTTAACAAAACCGTATCACAGCTTCAGCACACTGCCACAACTACTCGTGATCATAGTAGGTAGAAGACATTGACATCGTATCACTAGCTCTGCATAATCATTTTCAAAGACCTGCTATGGAGATAATGGTGTCATGGTGACTTACTCCTCATTTCCTCTTACACATAACCTGGATATTTCAGCTTCTCAAGGTGAGAGATAGGATTTTCAGAGAGGTGCGGTTATTCAGGTGTTGGGGGCGGTTGCTAGCTGCTAAATCAGAAGTGGAAAGCAATGGTATGTGGATCATGAGAATGAAGTCCCTCGTGCAGTGATGATCTGTGCTTTTTTCCATGCAGGGTGAAGCTGCTTGAAGTGTGTGTGCTCACACTTCAGCGATACTGAGATCATGATGTAATTAGCCTGTAATTGCATGCAGCACCTTCCTGTATGCAGATCATGCAAACAAAATACCCAACAGCTCAAGGTTTGTCTTTATTTTGCTTCATAAGCAAGTATGAACCAGCTAAAATAAAGTTATGAAAACCTCTTCCATAATTTCTTTCCACATCCTTAAAATTCTAGGTATCTACCTGGTAACCACTAAGTCACCACTAAATAACCATTAATTGAAAGAGCTATGCACTGAAATAGAATACTGCTAAAAAAGCTTATATTGTAAATGTCATTAAGTGTTTATTCAGTTTCCCCCAACTGTATCACAGATTTAAGAAGTAATTCCACCAGTCATTTGTCTTACTGCTGTTCTCAACACATTTCAGTGCTGAAAAGAGACATAATCCATGAACCTGAGATAAAAGACTTCCTTTCTAAAAAACCAGATTACAGTAAAACTGATCCGATTAACTTAACACTGTTGAACTGTAAACAGAAGTCACAGCACTACAACATTTGTAATTTACCTCTCACTCAATCCAAGGCAGTTATTAGCCTGAAAAACCATGCCAGTGTGGGCTTTAGATGTCTTTTTGGTTAAAGCACTCTCCAATGTCAATACCTAATCCCTCAGAACATACTCCATACAGCAGGTTTAATTTACTGCTTTTAAACACACATGGATTAGCTTTACTATTAGCTGGTGGAAAGGAGGAGAAAAGGAGAAGTCAAACCAGAGCAGCAGCAACTCCTACTGTTTCTGGCAAGTGATGCCATTAAGAGAAACTTCTCACAACACTGAGGGTTTTGTTCTGTTTTGAATGAATCAGCAAAGTCTGGGTTTAGAGGATTTTAAGGTGTTTTTATTCCTAAAATCAAATCAAAATTATTTCAGATATATAGCTTAAATACTTTCTGCAGTGAAAGTCTCTCTCCAAGACAATACAGTGACAGGGAAAAAATGCAGTTTGGCTCTTTAACTAGTGCAAGCAGGACAAACAAGCAGAAAAACTGGCCTAAGTCATGAAGAGGCAAAGCCAGTTGC